CCCCCCCCCCCCCTCCCTCTCCCCTGGTGGAATGGCATTTATTGGCTTGAGCTGCTGAAAAGTACCACACACACACACACACACACACACACAAAAGGGATGATAGGGAACCTAAACCACCCCTCCTTCGCAAAATATATCGTAGCAGTTTTACTATATCGCACAAGATGAACAACGGGCGAGGTTTTTAGTTTCCAGCAAAATTGTTATTTTACTATCCCCACAAGAAAAAAAAACGTGAATTTGACGGAAAATACGTCAATTTCATGGAACCGGGCCCGTAGTTTGATTAGTTTTTGACGAAATTGCATAAAAGAAAACTGTCGTCATTTAATTTGCAGCCTCACTGGAAACGCAAGTGTGTGAATGTCGCACACTCTTGCAGGTGTGTGAATATCCATTCGTACAGTTACGGGGGTAGACGTGTGACTTTTCTAGGAAAAAATCACACGTTTACCCCTGAAAGTGTACGAATGGATACTCACACACCTGCAAGTGTGCGACATTCACACACTTGGGTTTCCAGTGCTGCGGATGGAAAAGATTTGTTCAACATATTTAAAAATAAAATAAAAATAAAAACAAATAAAATAACAGTCTGACAGTTCAACTTTAGTATGTTACGTGCACCTTAAAACGAAGAATAGAGGTTTACATAAAATCCACAAGAGAATTTTGAAGGAAAACCTTTCGAAGGGACACACTTTTATTTACAAGCAGTCACAAACGATTCCTACTGCCTTAAAAAGGTGAAAGTTTGTTACACCTTTTTGCTTTACTATTATGCGTCATGTCGAATGGGCTGCCTACCTCCCGGCGCTCCAAGTACGCTATTACAACATAGTCTCTTAAAACAAAAAGTAAGAAGTTAAGAACTTTTGCATGTTTACTAATCGATTTTGTGGAAATGTTTCCATAAAAATTTTAATCTATCTAAAATGTCGATCGAAAGGGAGTTCCTCCGTTTATCTTCACATCTTGAGTATACACTGAGGTAGGTACGCTTTCTTTCGCAGTGTAGCAATAGTGGAAATGATAAGGCCAACTGATAACACGGCGCGACCTAACTTGGTCCCTCGCAAACTGACGTTACAATTATTGCTCCGCCAACTCCTTTAAACAATATCGAAATACAATTACAATAATTATGCGATAGATACACAAAAACCTGCTACACCGTCCAAGCAAAATAATGAATAAAGTATCTTCATGAAGAGACCAAATAAAGCCTGTAGTAATGACAACATGTCTTCAAAAGGTATAATTCCAACGTCACTTCTCTCGACTCGCTCGGTTTGTCCTTTTGGCGCGAAGCTCGCGGGCAAGACCGACACAAATGTCTTGCGTCAGTACCGTCAGTACGTAAACACTAGAAATAGTTTTTATTTTATTTTCTCGAGAAAGGAAGAAAGAACTTGCGAATAGGATGGCCGGGAGGGCTAGGAGAGGTGCGCCGCGGAGCGATAGCGGCGCTAATCTCAGCTTGAGCCGCTCCTCAAGTGGTCCGAGCCGAGCCGCGCAGCGCCACCCCCGACCGTCCCGACAGTCACCATGAGCATCCTCAGAGCGGCGGTCTGCGTCCTCGCCACGGTGAGCCGGCGGCCGGGAGGCCAAACAACGTAGGGGGGGGGGGGGGTAATAATATCATGAGACCCCAAAAAATGATCAGGAACATCATTGGAGTCAGAGCCTCCAGGATATTCGTACCCCCGGGGTACAAATGTTATGAGGCTATAAAAGGATCAGGAAAGTCATTAGTCCATCGAGCCCCCATGATATTCGTACCTCGGGGTACAACTATTATGGTGTTCCAAAAGGAGCAGGAACGTCTTGAAGGTCCACTGAGAGCCCCCGTGATATCCTTATTCCGGGGTGTGAATATTATGGAGTCCTACGGTTTTCAATGATGGTTCTGTTCCTTTCGGCACGCAATAAAATTTATACCCCCCCCCCTTCTTTTCAAGGCACGTAGTATTTGCAAGACCCCTTAATATTTCGGATAGAACAGACGATTTGGATTTTAATTAAATAATCATCACGAGCACTTTGTTTCACATTCATGAACCTGTGTGACTTCCACTCACTTATCAGAGATTAACCGGAACGCTTTATTGGTTTGTAGGCATTGGCCGTGGCCGGGTCTCCAGTAGACCCGCGGATCGTGGTTGGGCCACTCGACCCGGAGGGTGAGTACACTACATAGTACGTACCGGGTGTAACTGTGAATGCGGAGCAGTGTTGCGGGTTTGCCTACCCTGTACACCCGTAAGGGGCCATCGCCCCTGCAGGCATATTGAGTATGCAATCCCGCAACACTGCTCACAGATACACCCGGTACATATAGCGCCGACGACGCAACGAACGCACGGACCTATATCGAGAGAACTGCTGGAACGAGCAGGTCATTGCTTCCCTCTTTTCAAACGCGACACTTTTCAGGTTTGGGTGCGGCCAGCCTGAGAATCTCCGGCGGCAGAGTGGCAAAGGTTGGGCAGTTCCCTTACCAAGTGGCGCTGTTCGATTCCACGGGTAGCTTCCTCGGCTCCGGGGCCATCATCAGCACCAAGACGGTGCTGACGGCAGCGCAGTGCATCGACGGGTACCTAACCTCTCACCTCACCTAACTAACTCAATAGAGGAGTTTGTCTCGAAGCAGACGACCAGGAAAAAAAATGCAAGAATATCAGAAATGGAATGCGAATTGTGGCGTTGACCAATCCACGATGAGCGCCGCTAATGCATGATAGGCACTGATTGGTTAGTCGCTCAATTTCTCATACCAGTTTCAGGTCCTCTTGTTCCTTTCCTTGTCATCTGCTTCCAGACAACTCCTCTATCCCTAACGTCTCCATCGGCACGGCAGCAGCAGTTTCTCATACCAGTTCCGTTTTTTTTTTGTTTTGTTTTTTTACTTCTCTCCACTCCAGGATCCTCGACGACGTCGTAGTGCGTGCGGGGATCCTCAAGCTGACCGACATGAACGCGGACGGCGAGAGGCGCACCACGCTGGCCAACCGCGTCATCCACCCCAACTTCGACGCCGAGTTCTTCGACAGCGACATCGCCATCATAAACGTACCGTACGACTTCACATTCCCAGACACGAGTGAGTGTTTTAACTATAGTTAGGTGGCGTAGTCACTTGCTTACGAGCCGCTAGTAGACGTGACCGCTTTTTTTTATGTTTCTTACAGAAAAACCAGCCATAGGTTTGATCGCACTGCCGGCGTACTCGGAAATAGGCGACGGACTCGCTAACGCAGCAGTTACTGTTTCCGGCTGGGGAAAAACGAGCGACTCGTGTAAGCACCAAGTCTTTGCAATCGATGTGAAATTGAGAAACTAAGGCAGCAGAAACAGTGATTTTACGTTTTCCCCGCCGTGGTGCAACAACCTGAGACACACATTCTCGCTGATCACAGCCGACCTGACCTCGACCGACCTGCAGTACGGCCAGATGAACCTCGCCGCCGACCACAAGGAGTGCGCGGCAGAGTACGGCGCCTCCATCATCGGCACCAAGCTGTGCACCGCGTCCTCGCAGGGCGCGAGCACCTGCGCGGTAAGCTAGCAAATTTTAAATCTTTAGAAAAATATTTTGAGGAAATTTAAAACTTACACATAGAGTTGGAAGCCCTGGAAAGTTTCCGGAAAATTTCTGGAAAAGACGGAAAATTTCCGGGATAAAATGAGAAATTTCCCAGATTTTGGAAAGTTTTCCGTTATTTTCCGTATATTTTCGGAAAGTTTTCGGAAATTTTCCGGAAAGTTGTCGGAAATTTTCCGGAAAATTTTGGAAATTTCCAAACCTACTTACACAAGAAAATCTATTTTTTAAAAAAAAATTTCTGGAAACTTTTTTTTTTTTCGATTTTTTTGAAACGCTTTTAAATTTTTTCTCTCCCACGCAGGGTGACGTGGGAGGCCCGGTGAAGCGGGCGGTGGACGACGGCTTCGTGCGCACGGAGCTGATCGGCATCGTGTCCTTCGGCCGGCCCGAGAGCTGCACCGCCGGCAAGCCCGTCGTGTTCACTCGCGTCTCGGCCTTCTACGACTTCATCGAGAGCAACAGCGACGTCAAGGTCCCGGACCTGCCGGTGGACGATGATGATTCGTAAACCCTGTTTCACAGTCTATACGTACAGCTATCGTAATAAAAAAAAAACGTTAACGATACCTTGTTAGTAAACTGACGAACCCTTTTAGAAGATGTTGTTTTTAGCCCGGCCCTTCTGCTTTGAAAAATCTATCCAGCGGCCTTCTGCAAACGATCTCGTGTCCGTGTGTCTGTCTGTTCTACTAGAAAGAGATGTGATAGACACTTGAAATTTTCAGGGTATCTTAAGGTTTTTATGTTCTTCTAAGGGGTAACTCGTCAAAGTCTCTTTGGGTTTGTGTTAAAATTTTGTTTGTTGGTTTTGCGCTGGAGGGTCTTCTTTGAAGAAATTAAGCTAAAAAAATTGATGTAATGAAAGTCGGGTTGTAGAAGGAAGCCTCAAATCGCGAAATGGGAAAGAAACTACCCCCCCCCCCCCGCGCGAAAAGACAACAACAAAATTACACGTTTTCTAAGCAGAAGAGTGGGTTGTAGTCACACGGTACTTTGCCGTGTTACAATCCTTTCTCATGTCTAAGGGGCAAATTTTAAAAGGCCACAACCTTAAGTTTATAATACTATGAATGGTGCCTTCAAGGTCGGTCCGCAGGCCCAACACACGCCGCCGGCCAAGCAGGCTCAGCCCCTGCCGAATGGAGTTGCTGGCGGAGCGAAGTGAAGCTGGCTACTTCGTTTGGCGGAAGGACGGGCCTACTTGTTGGTTGTTGTTGTTGTTGATGGTGAAATCGTCGATATCTTTATCACACTTTAACCTCAACCCGCAAGTTATAACGGAACTCAACTGGACAACACAAAACCGAGCCCCTTGCATCATAACATTGTACTAACTGTATGTACAATCGAACTGAGCGATACTCAAAATACATAGCGTTGGGCAAAAAAACAAAACAAAAACTTTCCAATTAAAACGAGGATTCTTTTCCAAAAGTTAAATATGACCCCTGCTCGATGAACACCAGGAAAAACACTCTGCAAGAGATATGAATGTAGGGGGGATTACTCATATCCCCCGCCTGTGGACAAGTGTCCCCGAGGCGAAGAGAATAGTCGTAAGAGTTGGCGCGCATGTTTCGTGCGACCGGCCTCTGCAGGTAGGGATAGGGCGATAGTCGTACGAGTCGTTCCTCTGACCGAAAGTCCATACTCTTACGACTC